AACAAAAAATGAAGGTATTTACAGTAGGTAGTTTCATCAGACTTATGACGAGGGTGACGAGAGGATAATCGGGCCCCTTCTATATTTACACTCGGAGGGACGGAAGAGATTCGAGGAAGGACGCTCTCAAAAATTGAAGTAAGCCACAACTGTACAAACCAAACAGGGCCTGAAAAATTCCCCGACGCTTTAGGTGTGTTCAAAATTTCGACAGCCTCGTCGAAAGTAGCATACACATGAGCTAGTAGTAGCTTAGCCAAACATATCGTAGGCTGACCTATGTGCAGGACATATGCAAGATCAAACAAATGGGGGGAGATTTGGATGGATCGGGGGCAAAATACATGAGTGCATAGCCAATACACCAAAAATGCTACATGCTCTTCATCAGTAACAGCTATCGAAGGGTCATCAACAAAATGTTTCTCGATGAAATGTCCGTAAGCCTTCGATTCCCAATCAATTTTGGACCGCAAAGAGCTACTCGAAGGATATGCACCTTTAATATACTTCTCCCCTATGGGCTTCAACCCAGTAATAGCCGCAATCTCGAAAAGGGTAGGCGACAGAGGACCACAAGGCAACTCCAAAGCATGTAGGTCCTTGTTCCATAAATGCACCGCAGACAAAAACATCGTCATGTCCAAAAATGATAGATCGCATCGAGACAGATGCAAAAAGTCGAAAATTCCTATATCCCTCCAATGGTTCCCAAACTTGGCTTGTACCCTATCGAACCACCTAATAAATTGAGGCTTTTTGGAAGGAGGGCCCGTTCTATACACTTTAGAAGTAAGATTCAGAAAATCAACCCTAACTTCAGGTTGATGAACCAAAGCCGGACTAGTTGAGAGGTTAAGAGGAGTAAAAATGTCATCGATAGGACGGAGAGGACCCCCAAAAGCAAAATTTACCCCTTCAACAAGTATAAGGAATAAGTACCGCGTCTCAGCAATCTTGCGGAAGCCTCCTCCATCGAAGAAGCTGGAGCGAACCTCTGGTTGTTGATCTCCGACGGAGTTAGATGGCGATGAAGAAAGGGGTGGGGCGAGAAAAGTCGGAAGATTTTGATGAGCTGGCCATTGTAGTGAATTTAGGAAAACAGAAAGGGAAGAGTTAACGGATGAGGTAATAGGAACGAAGGCAGGAGCTCAAGGAAGAAGATGAAATTGCACAGAAGGTAATGGTTCGCGTAAAAACCAGAGTGAAGACTAAGGGAGAGGTTAAGGGTAAATCGTATAGGGAACTGGAACGATGGAGGTGAAAGGTAATAAATGCAACAGCATCGTGAAGGCAATGGATCGACGAGACAACGACATAAAGCAAAAAGAAATCCACAACCCTTTTAAACCCTAGAACCCCAGAAACCCTAAACCCTAAATCCTGTGGGCTTTCAAACACTAAGGCGGGAATATTGAAAGAATATAAAACAGAAATCATTTATATTCTTCCAAGGGGGCATTTTGTTAGTGGCAAATCGAGAAAAGCGATCGAAATCGAAGGGAAGAAATATGACTCGATAAGATAAACAAAAGTTCATTCGATGTCTAATTAAAAATACGTAGCATATAGCATCGAGAAACACAATCGAGAATCGAATGAATTGTAATCAAATGACTGTTGTCGAATAAAAACTAAGTCATATAAGATCAGGATTAAAAAGGAATCGTGAGCAATTCGAAGTTCTCGAAAAATATAGAATCGAGAATAAAGAAAGCCAATGGGGACATCGAGATTTTGGCCAAATCGTAAAGGGAAGTAAGTCGAATGCACGTATAGAGAGCAGTTTTGAAATCATGGGTAAAAGTCGGAGATCGTGAGAACGTGGGAAACTAGAAGATAAACTGCCATACGCACGTAGAACGTGGTAGCAGTCGTATTAACTGCTCTTAGAAGGCTTGAAGGATGCCCTATAAATAGAGCAAAGAAAGAAGGAACAGGGAGAGCAGAAATTGGCAGAGACAACAGAAACGCTAGTGAAAAGTCTACCGGAGAAACGACGAACACCATGAAGCTTCTGGCAATCTGGATTTCCTTGCTCACCGAGTACATTTACCGCTTTCTGTATTTTCCTTGGTAATTTACTTTGATGCAACTTAAATTCAGCAGTTTTATGTTTCTGTATTTCGATTCCTTGTCCATTTCAATTCAATGAAAATTTGAGTTTCTGCATTTAGATTTTCTGTTATTTAACATTCTGCAAATTTCGATTTCCTGTCATTTACTTCTTGCAATCTCGATTTCCTGTCATTTATATTTGCACTGTTTTCGATTTCTTGTCATTTACAATTAATGCAAATTTAGGGTTTTCGCACTTTACATTTCCTCGCAATTTAATATTCTGCTTTTCTATTCGATAGTCTAAATGTTTTCGATACTTTAAATACAAAATACCAAAAACAGTATTTTCGATATCCTGGAGTTTTCGATTTTCATACACGTTTTCGATTGAAAACCAAATTGCTAGCCTAAGTAAAAAGAGCTTACGTGGTAGGATTTTGATTAGGACCAAAACACCCTTAGAATCGAAATTGATCGAAATTCCACCGTAAACAATATCAAAACTATAAATGTTAATGGTGACATTAAAAAAGATTTTATTTATTTATTTCATATATATATATATATATATATATATATATATATATATTATTGATGAGAAAATGGTTAAAAAAAATGTTATGTTGGATTATAGAATGATATTACGAGGATTTGAAAAAATATAATATTTAGGAACGAGGGTGTTGTCTCGTGTCGATAATATCTGGTTTAATATATTGTTTATTTTAAATTTTTAATCAATTACGATTTTTAATTGGTTGAAAGAGAAAAATATATATAAATTATTCAAATATAAAAATCATAAATATAATTTAAAAAAAAATAAAAATGAAAGAGATAAGATGGTTGATGGGATCCATAAAATAGCGATCGTTTTCAAATTCTCTGTCTCGATGGTCGAAAGTTAGTTGGGCGAGTTGATGACATTTGGCGATAACAATGACATGTGGGCTTTTTGTTTGTCTATATGAGACCCATCATCCTTGAGAAACAAAAAGTCCACCCCACCCACCAAAAGCCCACCAAAAATGTTGAAGCAGCAAAAGGGAACAACTCACCCTTATCCCGTGCAACCAAACCTAAGTGCCCAAACTCACTTCTCTCAACTCCCACTTTCCTCATTCTCCTCCCCTCTTTGCTTTTTTTAGCCTTAAATTCATTTCTTTAGCTATAACTTCCAAAGTGTTTCATTTTACTTTTATTATATTTAATTCTACATTTCTTTTTCTACGTTTTGAATTCGAATCCACTTCTATACATAATGATATTCGAGTTTTTTTTTATCTGAAAACACTAATGTCTTTGATAATAGTTATTTACTCTCGTTACAATTAATATCATGTTTCATATTTTAAGATAATAAATAAGGAATTTTGACGTTTAATCTTACTACATCTTTTTATATTATTTATATTATATTGGATTAAAATGATTTTATATTAATAAACTTGACGATTAAATGCATTGATGATTTTTTATAAACATTAATTGAAAAAACAAATTAAAGTTTTCTTTTCTAATTAAGAAGATTATTGCGTCAGAAATGAAAATGTACTATATAAAAAATGTTGCATATATTGATACCATTGTAGTGTTGGTGTCCATTCATGATTGGGCTACCTTGAGGCCTAGAGCCTTGGAGACAGCGGTGATAAATTTGGTGGGGTTCACCACGCGCCGTTTGCCTCTGTGGGTCTCACGGTCTGGTTCACTATCATATGACGGGTCCAATTTGTTTCCCCCTCCATTTGAAACTCACGTTTCTTTGTCAATACAACTTGCAACCTGCTTGTTAAAATGTCTAAATCATTGGAGGAGATTGTTGTGTTTCTCTTTTGGTTTTTGCTTTCCCCATTTTCACCCCTTTTCATCTCCATCTCTTCTTCCATTAATTTTCATTTCAAGGTTTGACTACAAACCAAAACCCACCATTAATTCCAAATCCCATTCCATCAGTTTTTAATTAACTTGCTTCTTCTTTTCTTTAAATTATGAAAAATAATCCTCCTTTTGCTTCAATTTGGAAACTGTCATGTAGCTTCCGGCTCAAGCTAAATCACTAATTGGGTGTTAATTTCAAACTTTTCAGGTGTCTTCTCCAAATTTGTCACCCGTGACTGTGATGTTGTATTTTTTATTTTTTTTTCAAGGTTGGTTTCATAGTCTATGTTCACTATAAAAGGAAGATAAAGAAAACTAGCTACTCAATCGGATACATTTTGGCCATCATCATCGACATTTTTATACTTTATTTTGAAACCAATTCCGCAACTCCATAATTGCACGTTACACTGTTCTTTTTCACAAATCATTGGATAAGAAGTAACATATTTTCGACTATTTAACACACATAGTGTCACGTCAAAGTTTATTCATTTACTCATCATAAATATATTAATTTTCTAAACTTTATATAAATCTCATATAGTAGAAGATACCATGCACTAGCAAAATTAAATGATATTACAATGTTATTGAATTTGATCCTAACCACCATAATAGAGATGATTTACTTTAGAACTCAAACCTTTTCGTATTTACTTTTTTAATGTCACAATATTTATTTACATTACAGGGACAAATAGCATAAAATAAATACATGTTTTTTTTTATAATAATATATATAAAGGTGTCAAAGTGAATCCATCAAAGTAACTACGTTAAAAGGACGACGTCACTAGTGGGAGTGGTGCGCGTGTTGCGACGATGAGAATGTGCGAAGGAAGGACCAACCCGCTCTTTATTTAATTGCATGCTGGTCCTTTACGTAGAAAAATAGAACGAGTAACTTTAGTTCCTTTCTCTCTCTCTTTTCCTCTAGGGGCATTTCCGTAATTGAACCGCGCTAGCCATTGTAACAAACTAAAAAGCCGTTTGTTTTATAAATGCACAAGATAATAGCGGGGACAAGCTTCTGATGCACATTAAAAGAACTTCGAATGGACCAACCGCCACACCACCACAACAGCGCCACCACCTCCTCCTCCGCCGATAAGCCCGCCACTCCGCGCGGAGGCACGCGCCACCCGCTCTTCCGCGGCGTCCGCAAGCGCCGCTGGGGAAAATGGGTGTCCGAAATCCGGGAGCCGCGCAAGAAATCGCGCATATGGCTCGGCTCCTTCCCGGCGCCGGAGATGGCGGCGAAGGCCTACGATGTCGCCGCCTACTGCCTCAAGGGCAGAAAGGCGCAGCTCAATTTCCCCGACGAGGTCCACCGCCTCCCGCCGCTTCCTTCCGCCTGCACCGCCCGCGACATCCAGGCCGCCGCCGCCAAGGCCGCCAGCATGATGATGGTCCAGGCCGCCGCCACTGACTCTCCGGAGAAGAGCAGCATTACCTCTGACTGCGACCACGCCGCCGATGACTTCTGGCGCGAGATTGAGCTGCCGGAGCTCCTTCACGGAAAGTGGTGGACCTCCTCCGGCGACGCCTCGCCGTGGACGGAGGCTGACCTCCCGCCTCAGCAACCCTTCCCCACGGCGTGCTTGTAGTTTGTAATAATCAATAACACCTTCTGCTGCTGCCCTTTGGTAATTGGTATATTATTATTATTATTATTATTATTATTATTATTATTGCTTATATAATCAAGTAACTCTTTGTGTTCTTCTCTGCATAATAATTAATTACACTATGATTAGTGTTAGTACTGTTAATAATAAAATTTTCACCAATTTTTTTGCCACTTCCCCCTCAATGCGTTTGAGGCATAAAATTTCCTCATTTCATTTTTTTAGAAACCATTTATATATATTTATATATATATATATATATATATATATATATATATATATATATATATATATATATATATATATATATATTATTTTCACAAAATTTAACACGCAAGAAAAACCCAATTCACTCATCTTCTTTTTCTAAAAATAGTTATACAGAAATCTATCCAAATGCAATCTTCAGTCATATTTAAATAAATTTCTCTAAATTACATAATTAAAATTAAATTTTATAATTTGTTTGGGAAAAAGTTAAAATCAGTTAACCTATGAAAACTAAGTTTCTTTTTTTAGTAAATAATTTTGAAAAAGTTATCCGAACACATCCTTATCCTTAGTATATAATCTTTTGTTATTAACGGTTCATGCACGGTTTGTTTTAATGTATATGAAGCAAGTGTTGTTTATCTCTCCATAAATGGGAGTGATATACTAGAACAATTGTGTCCTTTTCTTTATTAACATAAGAAACAATTCTTGAATTAGATAAAGAAAATGTTGAGACGTAGATGACATGGTTTTGGTGCGATTAGAATTATAGATAGAGAGTGATTCGAGTATATATACTTGTTAGTTGTTTATTCGCTGTTCTCAAATACTAGGGTACTCTGAGTAGTACACTTGAGATTTTTTTTCCCATGTGGTGTTGTTTTATCTTTGAAGTTGGAGGCCACTTCATGATTCTCTCTACACCTATCTATCTATCTTTCACTTTATTTTATTCTCAAGGAAAAAGTGCATTTAGCTTTGTGCACAGTGACGGAGATGGTATACGATTATCTTCCATAACAAAATGCTCAATTTGTTGAAATAACACTCTACGATGATGATGGTGATGAGTGGTCTCTTTCCGATGTAGACTTGTTGAAAGAGTGTGCTTATGAATTATGCCTCTAATTTTTTTACTCATCTTCTTTCCGGTGATGCTAATCTTTTCAGTAATGTGGTTTAGATCAGTGTTTCTTTTGTGGTATAATGTTGTACAATTTTTTTTTACCTTCATTGTTAGAGTTTTTATAAGTTGAATCACCCTCCTGCCTATTTCTTTTCATGGATGTGTTTTACTACGCTCATACTCTTTCACATTTGCTTTCATCAAACCATGTTTGGGAATTTCGGTTTGAGAAGTCAAAGATATTTTAAGATGTTAAATCGATGCTAGGGAAATTCTAGAGGGTTGTGCCAACCATTCTTCTTCTCCCTTTGCATTCCCTACTTTGACTCTCTTAACTACCTGCCTATATTAATCACCATTTTAATTTCATTTCTTGCATTTTAAATTTACGTGTTTGACTTACAAAAAAATTATCTCACAGCTTTAATTGCATATATTTTTTTTTATTACAAATATGTAAGTAAAATCGTCAAGGGAAAAACTACCCTTTGTAAATAAAGACAAATAATTCTATATTAGAGTTGTTTTTACAAAATCGCACACAAAAAACACTGTTCATTAATACAAACAACAAAACTCCCATTTAAAATATTTCTGTTACAATTATATATTTTAAAAAACTAAACTCCACATTATTAATTGAGATCATATACATTTGGTGCGGTAGAGTTTAGATAAATAACTATATTCGCAATTCTGAGAAAAAAAAATATATAAAGATTTAATTTTGATAAAAAGTAGCAAATCATAGAAAAACATAGAGAGCAACAAAAGACGTAGTCAAAAGGCAATATTTAGCAAAACGATGGGATTGTAAAGAAAGAATAATATTGGAATACAAGGTATCATGTAATGGGAAATCTAATACTGAATCATTACCTCCACTAAAGTCAAAATTAGCACGTCATTAACAATTTTGTTATGGTGATTTCGTGCAGCAATGCAATGACGTAACGTTTGATCTAGTGAAGAAGAATCTATCTCACATATATATAAAACATCGTGGAAGACAATTATGAGTAATTATCTGACATAGACCCATTAAGAAGGGACATTATGCTAATTTGGTGGCATAACGTTATCGAAGAATCAGCCATTTGGTCTGAAGGCTGTTTCCATTTTATGTCAGGCCTGTAATATTCACATAACAAACATATGCCCCAGGTAACACTTTCATGGAAAATTAACAAAGATGGGTTTTCGTCATTTTCTATTTGTATTTTTCGGGGAAAATGTCACAAGAAATTGACCTATTACTGCCACCTTCCACAACTTTTTGTTTTTGGTTTTTAATTCGATATAAGGAAACTGGATCAACCAAACACTCAACCGAGATGTTTCGATTTTTAGAATATAATATCGTGAACGTGGTTATTGTTTTCTGACTTTCGGCAATCCCCATTCACAAGATTAATGGGGTAAGATTTTTTCCTTGGGAACCAAAACTTTCTGGGGGCAAAATCACATTTCATGGATAAATTCAACATCTAAAGTTTTTATGCTTTTAATTGAACGTCAACATCGTTTCACAGTGTTTCCAGCAAGCACTCGCTTTTCAAAAATATTTTTTTTAATTCAAAATTAAGTAATAACAGTTAGGGGTGCGAAAGTGAGTCACCGTTGAGCCGAAAATAGATGAGCTCAATCTGGCTCATTTTTTGGTGAATTGGAGATTTTATAATTCGGTTTAACCCACCATAGATTGATGGGTTAGGTGGATTGACTCACTAACCCATATTTTTTTTATTTTTTAAATTATATAAAAACTTCGGATATAGAAACTTATGTTTTCTTCCTTTCTTTTTTAACATCAGTATCTTCGTTATTAACTGAAATTAACTCATTGAATTTTTCATTAATAATAAAATCATCACCAATACAATTTACATTAACGCTTTGATGTATTGTTTCAGATTTCATACTGTAAATTAATTTAAAAAAAGAAGTCAAAAATTCATATATTAAAGAGATATACGTATAAATCAATAACAAACAACAAATAATGTATAGATGCTACAATTTTCAAATAAAGATTCATCAATTCAATAATTTTGGTTATGAAACAAATTTGTACCTTTGAAAGCAATACAGTGGTTTAAGTTATGAAACAAATTCTTATCTTTGAAAGCAATACAATGGACATGGTGTAGTGGTGCGGTGGATGAGATAATAAGACAAGTGACTAAAGTGCAGATGACAAACGTAATGGTGTAGCGAACAACTAATAACAAGTTTAAGTGAGGGTTTGACTTGTGGTGACAACCAATAATGTAGGATAGAGGTAAAACAGGATAACATCAATTAGGGTTACTAAAGTATTATAATTATTTTAAAAATTTAAAATAAATGATTAATTAAAGTTAGTATGTTATTATAATTATTTTTAAAAATTAAAATTAATGGTGGGTTGCGGGCCAACCCACCATAACTGGCTCGAACCCGTTTAACCCGCGGGTTAAGTGAGCTGGGTTCATGTTTAACCCATAATCGATAAAAATAAAAAAAAATCAAACCCAACCCAACTCGAACTCATGGTGAGTTAGGTTGACTCACGGGTTAGAACCCATATTGACACCCCTAATAACAGTTACGTTTTTCACTATTTAATATGGTTTATTAACAACCACAAAACTGGTGCATTTTGTTAGCAGAAACTTAAAACAAATGCTCCAACGTGTGTATATATATATATATATATATATATATATATATATATATATATATATATATATATATATATATATTTGTTTTTTATTGATTTTTCTAAGTTAACTAAATAAAAGACTAGTATTTGATATATCTTGATGATAATATTGTTAAGTTAATTATTATATTTGAAATATTATTTATTTTAAAATTTTTATTTATCACATTTTTTTCTTAAAAAATATTTTAATTGATTATAAAATAAAAATATATATAAATTATTTTTTATTTTCACCCTAAAAGAAGACTTATCAACACATCAAAATATTAAATTAAATACTAATATTATTTACAAAATTAAATGCTAATATTATTTAGGATATTAATTATGAACTTTGTCATATCAAATATTAAAAATTAAGATTAATTAGATGAAAAAAGGGACAGATTTCATAAAAAGATAGTAAAAACTAAAATGCAAAAAGCAGAGACTTAAAATATTTAAATCTAAAATATTTTTCATTTGATAAAATAAAAAAATGTTAAATATTTATCCAATGATATAATCATTTATTGTTATCTCATATACATAATTAATTAGATTCAAATTGATTTAATATTTTTTAGTTTAAAAAAAAAAAACTTTGTCCTACATAATATGCATTATCTTTAAAAGATAAATAACATGAAAGGGAAAAAGATACTGCTGATAAAAAAATGACACATTTACTTATTAATCCATGAAATCAACCCATTTTGGAGGCAATAGAAGAATGATAAATACTGCCTGTAAATGAAAAATTCAGTCATTAACTAAATTAGTAATAGAATTTATTTTTCTATTTTGATAACTAATTTATTAACCAATTTTCAGCCAAAAAAATCAATCACAAATTTATTACGATATTATTTAACTCTTTATCCATATAAATATTTTAAAAATATTTAAGTAATATATTATATATAATGATATTTAAAAAATTGAAATAGTGTATTTCATTTTTAATAAAATTAAATATTTTTAAAAATATTTTAGCAATATGCTAAAATATTTAATGACATATTAAATACTTTAGCAAGATAAGTAATTATGTTTTAAATTGAGTTTGTGTTTATTAAGTTATATATATATATATATATATATATATATATATATATATATATATATATATATATATATATATATATATTTAGAAACAAGTTAAATCCTAAC